TGAGGGGATCTCCTCTAGCATTTTCCATCTGATTCCCAATGGCCATTTGGGTCGGACCAATGGTTTCTCTTCAATCTGCAGCCCCACCAGCAACTCGGCCTCCTCTTGAGTGTCAAGAAGCAGTGAGGTGGTGGTTCCAGCAGCTCCCAGATCTTCTTGATCACTGGCTGAGTTAGACATTGTTTTCAGACCCCCTCGGAAGATAAAGAAGTAAATCTCCAGGTGGGCTGGTAAAAACAGAGATCTTGCATAATGTCGGGTGTGGCTCCATTCAAAATCCAAGAAAGAAAACCTTAGACTCAATTTTTATAGAGAAAAGGACTTTTACTGAATATGAAGTGGTAGCAACAGAAAAATACAAGATCTGAGGCAAAAGGCATGGAAATTAAAAATAGAAAGGTATCCCAGGTCCCCACCCCCAACTATTCAAACTGGACATCCAATCTGAGGTGTGTATAATGTCATGTGGATTACATCTTCAGGTGGCATCTACACATCTGGTATGCCAAGATCTTGGCCTAGAAAAGATAAGTGGCTGCATTTGCGCAGTAAGCAGAAAAGCATCCCAACATTTACAGTTCACACAACTTTAATTTCCAGCACCCTTCCCCCCATAAAACCCAATTATTGCTCCCCCTCCCCCCATTTCTATGGCAGCCAGAAAGAGTCAAGCAGAAGAAGAAATCTTGAAGGCTGACAAACTTAATAAAGAAGCCAGTTTCTGACATCTCCAATTGCTTGTTCTCAATCCTATGAGATTTTTCCACTACAAAACTAAATCAAGAATTTAGGATGATGGATTTTATTCTGGCAATGTATGAGAAGATGTATGACTTAGATGTATGATTTAGCTGATTGGCAGGTACATTAATTAATTTTTCTTTCCTTCAATTTTGCTTATCTTTGGTAACTTTGACATCTGTCTACTGTTTAATTATTTTGAGATTATTCCACTATAAACAATATACTTGTAAGCCTTTCAGTGGATTCATTTTGAATTTATTTTCAGATAGATAATAAATGCATCTGGTCAATAAATGCTTGCTTCTTAACTATTTTGTAATATACGGTTTCTTCTAATAGAAACACATTAACAGAACCCAAAGTTATTAATAAAATGTAGTAATACATCTTGCATTGGGGTTTGCATTAAGTGATCTCCGCCTGTTCATAGAAGTGTTAAGTTCAGCAGGTCAGCACACAAAGTCAGCACACCCAGTTACAAACCATTTCCTTGAAAGACAAACATTCTATAGTTATTAGCCTACCATTAAGAAAATTATGCAAGGTGACCATTTCCACATTCTTCTCTAAAAGTGGTCTGAAGAATGCTGCTTCTTTCTTCTCGCCAAAAAAACTGAATAAGTGCAGCAATTTAAAGACAACTATGTGTATAAGTAGGTGAGATTGTGTAATTTGTACTCTGACACACATCATTTCTTTTTACCTCTCTCTGTTTCTCTCTCTTCTTGAGATGCCATGTTCTCCATAGCCATACATTTTCAGCAAATTTCTATTAAGAAGAGGAAGAACGGGACGGGACGGGTGAAAGTATACTATTAAATGTTATTTATTACTTCATTGTTATTATTATAAATGATTTGTATGGCCATTCAATTCATAAAAATCAACTATGGAGGTTTAATGAAGAATTTTAAAGAAAACATATATATACAGTATAGATATAGATATAGATGTATAGATATATAGATATAGATATATATAGATATCTATAGATATCTATAGATATA